ACATCCCGCCCATCAGAGTAGAGCGTCTCAGGACACAAAGTTTACCACTTGTCCGATAGTTTAGCACAAACTGGCAACACTTGTGGCGGTGTCAACAACATGGTTGGTGCGGTTGACAGAAGATGGTCTTAGTAATGCGCCACACCGCAACGCCGTTGGCAAGCCTCATCACCCGGCAGGTGTGTGTTGCCCGTCTTTGATATGACGGAGGGGGATCATGCCATCCCACCCACCCACACATACTTTGGCAGTACAACACACACCCCCATTTTGGCGATGGAAATAGCACTGGATCTGAATCTTGAGTTGGCATGTCCCGGCATCGTCGACGGGGAAGCATAACGACCCTCTAACAGTGCGCTTCTCCTGAACAGGCGAGCCGCGAGAACGCGCGAGAGGTGTTCACGCCACTGGGGATTCTCACCGGGCTGTCCGTCACGCCCATCAAACACTAGCGAGAGTTCTGGAGACGGCACGACAGGCCCGCGGTGGCAAACGGTTGGTCCCTATCGGCGGAACTTTAACTGCATCAAGCTCTGGGCACGTCGAATCAGGGCATAGGGCTCGGTTTAGGCACCGGTCCGAGATGCTGGAAATTGTGTATCCCTCTGTGAATTACACCCGACGGGGTTCCGCTGCGGTGACAGCGTGACGTGCGTTGAGCAGGCCCAATGTCGGTATTCTCAGACGTCTGGCGGCGGCACGTCGCGAGCTGAGAGATCACGATCAATTTTGATCATCACCGAGGGACGGCTTCCACCACCAGTCTGGGCAGGCAGAGAGAAGATCCGTACTTTATCGGAGACGGGCCATGCATTTCAAGGATCGGTCTTTTGAACTCGTCTCACCATATGGCTTCACCCGTCTGCCGTCGCAATCATGATGAACGATGATCTCGCCAATCTTGGGCTCGGGGCATGCAGAACTCGCAGCTGTGGATGCTAGCGCGCAGCAGCAGACACACACCGCACACACACGGCCGGCGAGCGGTGGACGAGGCGTGCTGAAGAGTTTGAGCGCTGAACGCTCTGCCTGCCCCTCAGCTCTCCTCCCAGTGTTGGACATCTGTGGCACTGCAGCGGCGGTACAACGTTGCTGATGATCTAGAGTCTTGGGTGCAAGAAGCCGCCGCGAGATCGGGCTAAGCGTTCCGGTCGGGACGCAGAGACCCAAAGGGGGGACAAGGCAGGGTAACAAAAAAGGGGGGGTTCACTGGGCGCTGGGCTGTCGCAGGACGATTGGCGGATGGCGGATGCCGTGACAAGCTGCTGCTGCTCTCGAGGAGGTGCAGATGGGAATGTCGTCCGACAAAAACATCAGGAACTTTTTTTTGCGCGCGGCGAAGATCTTGGAACCGGAAGCAGGGGCCCCCCTTGAAGTCGGGCACGGAGCGACTTTACGCTGCTCGCAGAGCCAACAGAGAGCCCGCCTTAGCTGCCCAGCACGTGGAGGCAACAGGGTGACGGCGGGCAGGGCAACCCCCGACTAGTGCGTGTTGGGGAGAGGGAGTTGGCGTCCAGCAGCAGAAGGGCGAGGGTGGGAGGCTCGAGGCGAGAGACGGGTGTGTCGATGGCCGCGGGGTGCGCCTGTCCTGCGATAGCCCATGGAGCCGGTGGGTAACGGAAAAGCAGACGGCGTGAGGTTTAGTTGCGGCGAGTAGAGTGTCGATAATGAGGGATAATATGGCCCGGCAGGGTCGAGTCAGAGAGACACAGCGTCGATCCAAGCCGGATCATATCATAACAGACGTTGAGGTGTAAAATCAGGGCAAATTTAGGCGCCAAGCGGTGGGCGTGGTTCGTTGGCCGTTCCACGAGGGCAGCAGCTGGTGGCCATTAGCTCGCAGCACTTGTCATGTCGTGAACTGTGCAAGCCCTAGTCACGGGTCAGTATCGAAAGCTTCTGCGAATGGTCGTCGAGAAGGTGGCCGGCTTTCTTAGCCTCTGTCTCGCAGCGCACAGGATGCATGCAAGCAGCCGATGATGGTGGCTCCAGCGAGAGTGGTCGTCGAGGGAAGGGAGGGAGGGGGCTGGAGGAGGAGTTCGCATAGCTGCGCGAGGCCGAGGTTAACGACATGATAGTGCCCAGGGAATGGGGATAAGGACGAGGATGGGCGGTCGGGGGGTCGACGGCCCACGGAGACAAGTGGACTGGAGACATCGGGGTGTCCATCAGCGGATCCAACGTCGAGGTCGCGGATTCAAACGGCGATGACCTCCGAGGCGTCGACAAAAGCTGTCACATGGGCCGGGGCTTGGCAACGGCGCCCGGGGGTTGGGAGCAGCAGATGGAGCTGGATGAAGGGGCGAGATGGAGATGGATCATGACAGAAGGGTGGTGGAGTGAGCGGCGTTGAGAGAGAGAACTGTGAGAGAGGAGGTTGACGGTGGATCTCGGATTCGGTCCCCACGACTACCGGAGATGTGTTGGTATCCGTAGCCTGGGCCTAGCATCGTGAGCCTTGTCTGGTTGATTATCTACCTAGTTACCTCCCTAGGTAGTAGGTATCCGTACGGATGTGTTGTCGGCTTGGACGTTGTCAAGGACCAAGGCTTGCTCTAAAGAGCATGACATCGCTTCTTCTTTCCCAAGTGAGGTTGCAGTTGGCGTTGCTTGGTTTCCGGCACGTCAAAAAAGGGACTGGTCACTGGACAGAGGCTGGAAAGAGAAGGTTAAGCGCAGCTCCCCATCTGGCGCCAGACCGAGCCAGGTAAGGGCTGTGAGGTAAAAAAGCAGCCAGCAGGTGGCAGGTGCGGCAGGCGCACTCGACTCTCACCTGTTCCTGCCCGGGGATCCATCGCCGACCGGCCACTACTGGCTAGCCCGTCCCAATGAGGCAACCGGGGTGCTTCTAATAATAGCCCACGACAGGCAGCCATGACCGGGGTGCACCTTCGGTAGAAGCCAATCAGGGGTCGGCAGCTTTCCGCTTATTGCCATGTAAAAAGTATCCATACGTTTTTTTTTCGAAGGAAAAAGAAGGGAAGCTGGGGCTCGGCAAATCGGCTTTATCCTACCTACCTTAGCTACCGCTACCTGGACCTACCTGCCTTAGGTAAGGTGCCTGCTCCGTGCCTACCTACTCAGGCAGGGAGGAACCTACCTACCTTACTTACTACGCAGTATGTACCTTCCCACGCTGGGGACGGGCGGGACTAACCACCTTTGGGCCTGCGGCACCAGTCGAGGTGCAGTCTGCAGTGGTCACTGGTCACTGGTCGCTGCGCTGGTAGGAAGGACACAACCTTCTTGGTACGTTACCTTTCCATCTAGGAGTCCAACTTGGACGAATGAGGCCAAGACCCGGGCAACGGGCAGCCATCTTTTGTTCGTCTACCCTTACAGACAGACACTGACATCCAGCAAGCAGCCCTTTCCCCCGCGGCTCATTAGCGTCCGGCACACGACCTATGATTCCATCTCCAACCCGCATGTCAAAGAACCAAAGACCAGACGTCATGATGGGACGATGGGCCAAGCGAATCTTACCTAACACCAGCGCCAAACCACCGACCTCTGCCGTGCCTCGGCGTTGATTTTGGCTCCTCGGCTTCGCTTCGCTTCGCTTCTGCTGCTAGTCAGTGGTGTGGGCTTCACGTTTCTTGGGCCTGGTCTTGGGTCTTGGTCCTGGTCTTGGTGGTGGTGGCTGGTGACTGCTAACAAACAATGGCCCAGGTAACGGCGCAGAAGCATATCTGTCGAGGCGACAGGCGTGGCCGCCGCCGCCGCCGGCACCGTCGCCTTGGGCTTCATGTCGATACCTTATGCACAACATCTCGGACAACCTGGAAAGGTACTAAACAAATGCTGTACCGACTGGTACCAACGGCAGAAGGAAAGAAAAAAAAAGTCAATTCTTTGGACAGGTACTCGTGGAACAGGCCAACAACCACCAGCCGCCCATCACCGTCACCCGCACCGCAAACCGACCACTCAGGACGTTGATACGGCCCCCCGTCGCTGGTCTCCCTCTCCATTCCTTCGCTCCGCCAAGCGGTGGAACTCCGACGCCTCCCCTGCCGATTGTGCCCGGTGTGCCGTCAAAAGCGCGGTGGAGATGGACGGCCCTGCATTTCACAGTGTTTCCAGAAGCCCAGCGCCCCAGACGACGGGACAGCACGCCTGCCACCTGCCACCAATTTGCACCATAATTTGTCCATAACCCGCCGCTTGCGGTTGCGCTTGCGGGACCTAGCGAAATTCGCACAGCTCGCTTGCCAACTTTTCCCATGAGGCCATTGATTGGTGCTTCATGCTGCCAGTCTCATGGGTCGTGGACCCGGCCGGCAGGGAGAGCGACGAGGTTAGCCCTCCAGTTCTCTCGGCCGATTGGACACTGACACGGTCACTGACACTTGACAAAGATCAAAAATCCCCAGGGCTGTCAAAACATGCCTCCCCCTGCTTTGTCCAGCAGCGGATAAACTACCTCATCAGCAAAAGTGCGCGCAGAGTTGCATCTTCTCCGCACCGAGAATTGTTCTCGACGCGGAGCAAACCTTGGAGACCCCTGGCAACGAGCACAGAGCAGCTCCTGGGCTCTTCCCCCAACCGTACGAGGTGGGAAAAAAACACCCAGCATCTCGAGGTCATGCGCCATACCAGGCAAATCATCTTGGCCCGCCTGCCGATTAGCAACGCTTGAGGCTTGCAACCTGCATGCCCATGCGTCCGTCTGTGACTCTGCTGCTGCATCTGTGGCTGATCACTCCATGTCCAATCTGCGTTATCGTCGACACTTCGGTAGCTCGATAATTTTACTTTTCACCGCCTCCAGCCCGTCAGTTGTCTATCGACTCCCGCGCCATGTCATGTCGTCGGCAACCGACCTGCTGTGCTTCGCCTGGAGACAAGATGAACCCGAGACTCCGTTAGTTCGTGGCGAATGAAGCAACCCACAGACCTGAGGACGAGCCTCGCGTGCTCCGGTAGCCGCACCAGAGCGCCCACGGAATGATGGGCCAAACCACAAAAAGAGTGGGAAAATACTTGTGCGCGAGATGGTCGATGGCGACGGCCACGGTGACGGCAACAGAGACGGCGCCGCGCGCGTATGGATTGTCGGGCAGATCTCTCTCACCTGGGACCCCCATGCCCTCCTCACCGCGTTCGGCCGCGGCGGCTCCCTCGCACAACGTTCAACGTACATATGCGGGTCAATGATGCGCACAGGGTTTCCCTTTTGCCCAGTCGCCAGCGCAGCCAATGGCCGTCGCGCCTTCAGCATAGCACACAGCGATCAGCCCGCGCTGAGAAATTTCTACCAGTTCGCCGTGACGGCCGAGGTGGAGACATGTCAGATCAGCTATCTGCAGGCCCGATTTCGATTTGAACCCGTCGCCCTTTAGTTGAGACTTTGACACGTCCTAAGCGTGGGCAGCTCTCTCGCGCCCAAATCACATCACCGGCTACCGTCGATCGGTCAAGACGGAGTGAGCGACGGCGTAGGCAGCAAGCGAGCCGTCTCGCATAACAGCCCAAATGGCAACCATGCTGGCCCATCAGTAAGATAGAGTATGGAACGTTGCGTTCCCTCAGCCACGGGCGACCGTCTGCGCCGCACGCTCTGTACCGAGAGCGAGAGAAACGAAAAAAAAGTTTTGTGGCCCCAGCTTACCATATGCCGTTATCCAAAGTGAGATTGGACCCTGAGAACAGTCGACGACTTGTCCCGGCGACCGAGGAGACAAGACAAAAGTCCGCGGTGTAATTGACCGAGTTTCCGCAGACAACAGGCAAAGAAGGTTATTTAAGAATAGAAATCCGCCTTGCCCTATCCGGCATGGCGGTGATGAACTCGCATGGATAATGGTTGAGGCACTCATCTCAGAGAGCCTCAGGCCGCATGCCGTCATTCGCCGGCCAATGGACTGAGACACACAGCGACTTCCATCGAGTCGTCGAGCGAGGAAGGGAAAAAGTATCGTGACGCCGTGCTGCTCACAGCCCCGTTTGGACCGACTGACGCAGACGGGCCGAGTGGTTGATGTCAGAACAATGCACACCTCAGCTCTGTACCGCCGACCTCTGCATGTTCATGCGACGACGACGATGCGTCCGTACTCGTTCCTGAGACGTGCGGTATTCGTACCTGCAACGGCGTGCTCTCGTTCCTGACGGATGTGTTCGTTCCTGCATTACGGATCAACGACAAGGCTCGACTCGACCTGCTCGAGCTTCGTATCAACAGATGAGGCCGAGGTACAATTTGCCGCAAGGTATGATGTGGACAAAAAAAGGAGACCGAGCCTGTCGACAGATGAGGCTCTCCGCTTGACTCGACCCCTTCTCGGATTCATCAGATAGGGCTGTGGTTTCGACTCCATTCTCCTTGCGATCAACACGCAAGGCTTCTAAACTTGACTCGATTCCACTCGTGATCAACACGTAGGGCTCTCGCCTTGACTCGATTCTGCTCAAGATCTGCAGCAAGATACGCTCTGTTTCCAATATCCCACTCGCCACCTGGGCCCGCTCCCCAGCGCAATAAGGCGTGCCCACTCGCGATACATCGTCGGAATATTATCGTCTCTTCACACCGCTGCGCAGGAAATGACTGGACTCCATGTCAAACATTTCTTGGTGCGCTGTCCATGGCGCCTGGCGTCATGAAAGGCCATCCCTGACAAATTGAACAGGGTCGGCAGGGGACATGTGAGGGCGGTCAGGCACAAAGAGAGAGACCTCACGCGGGCCAGAAACAGGCGGCCCTTACGCGCGCTGGACGTTAGTACAGCCACCGCCGCTCAACCGTCAGTCCGCCGGCGGGACGACGTTGATTTGTCGCGCCCGCGCTAGCTCCGTAGCACCGGCTGCCTCGTGGTTTGTGACGGACATCTGAGATGACAATCTGTCGACGGTTCGGGAAGGCTGGCTCTGATGGGCTCCCGCTCGCGTCAGTTGCTTCCCCAGGGCTGGAAAAGAAGCACATGGGTATGGCTGGTACCCCCGGCAGAGAGGCCAAAAATGGACACGAGAAACTGTTGTTTCAGCCAACCAGAATCAGAAAGGAGCCCTGCAACTCCGATCTCCCAGCCCCTTGCAGAATGCTAGGAGGCACGTTCAAACAACACCGACAAGCCAAGAGACCCTTGGAAAAGCAGCGACCCGTTGCTGAACCCAGACACACGGCAGAGTGAGGAGGGAAAACGGGGGGACGGGTTCCAAAGCCCTTCGGAGGAAATGCAACAAGGCAATCCGGGAGAGACAGAGATCCCCCAACAAATTGCTGTCTACTTGAGACGAAAGGCGAAAGCATCGCATCTTGTTTTGCCGGGGTGATGGAATTTAACGTTTTGTGTCTTTGAATTAGCCTTCTCCACCATCCAACCAGCTCTGACTCGCTGCGCGATATGCAACCGCGGACAGGGCAGAGCTGCGCTAATGATGCACCGAGGTGAAAGCTCCAGGTTAGCGGACCACATCGTGAAAGCATTTCGCAAGAGACCTTCGGACGGAATGGCTATGACAAAGAGCAATAACCTCAGACCTTGGCTCCAAGATCCGACCGGACGGCCCTCCCAAGGTTCGCGGCACGTCGGCTGCCTCCGGGATTCAACTGAAGTGTGTCGGAATTCCTGCCGATGGGGATCTCTCTCTCAGCCTCAGGGGCAAGAAAGACTGTACGAATACCGCAGTGCATCTGGACGGACTACGGACAACAGATTGATGCTATTATTGCGGATTACCAGGATGGCACGCGAGTCGGAGAAATAACAAAGGGAGATGACATGCCCCCAACCGTTGCACGGCAAATGGTTGCATGCCGTGTCATTGATTCAAGCAGAGCACAAACCACAAGCTTCTATTGATGGTTTGTTTTGGCAGCGGCAGCAGCAGATCCATACCGTGGACGGTGGATCTTCACAAGAGGTCGGCCGTCGGCCTTCCCTGCAACGACAACCACCCAGGTCCCTGGAGGGAACTTGTGTGAGTGCTGTGGTTCGAAAGCTCGGACGCCACGGGCCATGGACAGAGGCTTGAAACCATGTCTTGAGTGGCCGTCAGGTCCCTCTTCCTGATGTAACCCGGTTGGCAGCGCCGGCCGTTTCTGGTGTCGCGGGTTTGGTCTCGGAGAAGCTCACACACTGGTCGAGTGGGAGAGCTTCGCCTTCAGGACGGTCTCCACTTGCTGGGCTGGCACGCTACGTGCAGCGCGCTCAACTTTTTCATCGCCCGCCGCATCGCATCTCTCTCGCCTTCTTCGGCCTAGCCTGCCACGGGGCAAAGGCCCGCATGAGTGATGGGATGTCCAAGGGGGAGGAAGCGCACGGATGCTCGTGATCCATGACCGCATAACGTTCGCTCGTCGTTCTAGTGGGTTGGAAATGAGAACAGGGTCCTTCCTCATCCGGTCGAGATGGGAAAGGTTGGTTTTCTGCAGACAGGGGCCGGGGCGGGGCAGCAGCCGAGAGTCGAGAGTCGAGCATCTCAGCTTTTGCGAGAAGCTCAAGGACATGGCATGATGAGAAGTTTTGCAGCTCAACTCTCTTTTCTGTCAGCCACGAGAAGGGCGACGACGACGACGACGACGACGCGGCTGCGGCCGAGACTCTGGAGTCGTCATCCAAGTTGAGACGATTGCGTGTGCGACTTCGGGAGGATCGAGTTTCCGTCGACACGGTTTGGGCTCATGAAATTTTTGTAATTCTTCCTCAGAGCAGTCAAGGGCTGAGAGAACAGCAGACAGCACCCATGTCGGGAGGCTATTTGTTGGACCCAGTGCTAGGGCCGCCCAGTTGGGGTCATAGGGCGGGCAGCACATCAGCGAGCAAAATATCGGGTGTCGTTGGGAATGGAGAGAGGGACCACTCTCGCTGTGGGCGCACACACGGAGAGAACCGCTTCAAGTGCGGCAATGGGCCAAGATGATGGAACCTTTGTGTAGGGTTCTCTGCATGTCACCACACCAACAGGTGCAGGACGGCCAGGGGCGACAAAGATGAACATGTCCACATGACGATGTCGCTCTCCAGGTTTCCAGGTCCCGGTCGGGCTCTGACCGAATCAACACCGGGCAGAAAAAAAAAAGAGGCACTCATTTTCAGCCCTCGGGGGGCTAGTCGGATGCAGGCCGAGGCGAGGGGGCGAGTACCGAATGCAATGGATTGTTACTCTGGGCAGTGCTCCCTCGTCGACCTTTGAGAGAGAGCGATAGCTCCCGCCTACTACCTATTTTCATGCTATAGGCCCCGCAACTCTGTTGTGTCTTCACCATTACCTAAGGCAAGGCCAAGGAGAAGCGGTGGTCGACCGAACAAGGTCCAATGGAGATGACCTTAGTCACAGCTTGACGAGAGAGGCCAATCCAAGAGATGGGGCCACGGAGAGATTTACACCCGCGCGATTCAAAGTTGAAGCTTACAGCGAGGAATGGGGATTGTCAACTTGGACATTTGGAGTCTAATGCCCCTTAATTCTGAATGTCATTCGTCGATATTGCCGAGCAGCAGCAGCGACAGCAGTTGGGACGGACGAAAAAAGCAGCGGATGAGAGCTGCCGCCCGGGTTCCGACCGTCTGACGACGGGGCTCTGCCAAATATTGCCTTTTCGCTGAAGGATGCCACGGCTGCTGCCAGAGAACGAACATACGCACGCATGAAGCTGACGCTGGTGTGTTTAGGACTGGACGGTGAGCGGTGCTCTGTCATCCGCTGAATGGACGGGTTGCACGAGAAGGAGAGCACGGGCATGTTTGCATGAGCCAGGCGCAGGGGCGGATAGACAAGAGACAGAAAGATGGGATGGGATGGCAACGACACCCATGAACCATGACTGGCTCGGCATGGCACACAAAGTCAACGGCACGGACAGAGGCACAGACGAGCAGAGACGCAGAGTCGCTGACTGGTGATTGCTTCGCCTCGATTGTGTTGTGACTAGCTCCCTGCCGGCAGCGTGGCATTGGACTGGCTGGATCAGGACAAGATTGACCGTTGGCCCCTATTCTCCGAGTCGGGGGGAGGGGGCTTGTCTCTTTCAGCTGCAGCGCAAACGAGCAGGAAACGAACATCGAGAATAGAAGCTATACGGAGCGGCATGAAGAGCGTGGCATGGCATGGCATCAGCGGCGCGATGCGGTGATGCGATCATGGGTCGGTAGCGAGGGAAGAAAGAGTAACGAAACAGCCGCGAACTACAGGCATCTTTCGGTACCGACTCCATAGGGTAGGTAGCCCACGGGCTCCTAGGGCAGAGAGGTAACAGAGGCAACGGTGCCCTGTGGACGGACAAACACCAACCAGCCACCTCGCGCAAGGCTAGCTGCGAAGGGCATAGCAGAGGAACGCACTAGAAAGTCGCCGGGTGGTGCGGACTCTCCTGGCTGTTGAGCGTGTTTCTGTCGTC